GTCCCAGACGTGCTGCCGAACCGCCTCTCGGGAGGGGGCTTGGCCGTGCTCTTCGTGCCCTGGGAATCTGACCCTCCTCTCTTCCCAGAGACTTCATTGAGCAGCACTACGTGACCCTGAAGAAGGCAAACCCGGATTTTCCCATCCTAATTCGCGAATGCTCTGAGGTGCAGCCCAAACTGTGGGCTCGATACGGTAAGCGGGGAGGTACCTGCAGTGAAATACCTTCTGACAAAATCTAGAAAAAAAACGTGGTACCACAGTGCTGTGGTCTACAGGAAATCAGGGAGTTTGGTAATTAAAGCAATGCAAATCCTCTCTGAGGGAGCAAGTCTCTGTGAGACAAGATGTGGCTGGGGCCCCATTTCTTTAGAAGAGGAGAATGCAGGAACACAGATAACCCCACCATTAATGTACTTGAAATTCAAAATCTTGCCAATTAATGATAATTCTTGCTTATCAGTTAAACTACTGCGATAAAGTTGTTTTCATTACCTCCTTGGTGTGTTACGGCTGTGTAACCTGGTGGGAGGCACAAAACGCACACTCCCTGGGAGGTATTTGCCAGCTTGTGCCCGTTATCTCCCACACCCATAAGATGCCTATGCAAAAAAAAGAAAAAAGTTTTCTGCTTTTTCTTTCGAGTTTCACTGTATCCTCAGTGAAACTAATGAAGGAGCAGAAAAGCTCCTAGAGAGGAGGCTTTGGTTTCTTCTCAAAGGCATCTGGGACAGACAAAAATCACTTTGAAAGAAAGTTTCTAAGAGACACAATGACTCTTGAAACATGAATTTCCCAGTGTGAGTAGAAGGACCAACAAAGCCTTCAAGTACAGTGTGTCTCTTCTGTCTTGTTGTGAGTTGCAGGAAGACACACTGCAAGGCAGGAGCTGCTGTAGAAGCAAGTCCTTCAGTAGCGTTTTACTGAAGTGTTTGTGAGGATCTGGATGCGTGGGGCTTGAAAGCCACCAGGCTGCTTTGGGGACATCACCACAGTCTCTGTTCAGCTGCATTAAGAGTTAACAAGAAGAGGCAAGCAAGCATGGCATGCTGTCTTGGCTTTTCTAAGGGAAAGGCTGAGTCACAGGGTAAAGGGAAGGTGGAACCGGTAACTTGGGCATGGCAAGGCATCCTGGAGAGGGCTGGGTGATAAAGGAGGGTGGGGGTAGCCACACCTGTGGCTCTAGTGACCCTGGCTGAAGCCCTAGGAAAACTAAATCAGGACTTTACCTTGCCCTTTCAGTAGAAAAGGAACAAGGCATCTGCTCCCTCTCTCACTTTCCGTCTCTCCTACAGAGTTCGGCAAGGAGAGAAGCGTGCCATTGAATAACCTGAGCATGGATGAAGTAGCCAAGGCTTTAGAGAACGTTGTAAAAAGCAAGGTCTGAAGACAGAGTGAACCTGTGCGCACCGAAGACTTTACTGATGAGCTTTAATGTGAAACATGTCTATCCTTAAGTTATTAATCACATAAATGTACGTGCTCACCCTGAGCTTTGTGTGTTGCGCTTAAAGCTGTGACAAAAGGAGACACTCCAGCTGGTTTATATTTGCTGGATTATAAACCAGCAAATCCAGAAGGGTTTATATACCACCTTCCCAGAAATGAGAGCCTTTCTGCACTGGCCGTAGCACAGCTCTGCCCTGGCCACACACAGTGAGGCATGGGGCAGACTTAGTTCTGACTAGGCCAAATTTAATTCTGACTAGGTGACTGTAAAGACCTTGGGGAGCAGAGAAGAACAATCGTACTTTGCCAAGAATCCCCATCCAGGACCAACAGCCTTGCACTGGGGCTTACAGCTGGATGTTAGACCTTTAACCATCCCTAGGTCAGTGGTATGTGAAAGCAGAGCACACTGAACGATTTATTCCTCCTTGTAGCGCAAGGGCAGGTGGAGGGAAGGGAGACAGCATCACCTAGGAGAGAGCAGGCAATGCAGCATGTGTGGTACTGACAGCAGAGTCTCCCGCCGGCTGCAAGGCCATGTCCAGCAGTGCTCGCACCCGCTCCTGGAGTTCTGGGGTGCTCTGATGCTGCTCAAGGGCCCGGTGCCCTCCTTGGCTGATGAAGTCAACAGCAGCCTGTGTAAGGAGAGAGGGATAAGAGCTGGCTGGATCCCGGTTGCCTCTTGAGAGCTGAGGCAGCTGAGTAGCCACTACAGTTGCTCCTATCTGTCCTGGTGCCACAACTGCCATTGTACACCCTAGGGAGCAGGGCTAGAAAATTCACCATTGCCCTACCAGACACACAAGCCCAGAGTCAGATAAATATAGCTGCTTGGATCATTTTAAGCACAAAACTGTGTTGATCCACCTGCACGTTAACACCTGCAGTGAGTCCCAAGAGCTCTGCACAGAAACAGGCCTCTCCTTGGTCTTTTCCCACCCTCTGAGAAGGGGGAACCATTAGCCCATTTTTCCATAGCAGCCCCAAGCTGGGTCTGCCCAGATAGGACACTGGGCTGAGAGTGTGGAGTTGTAATGGAAATATTAAAATTGGTCTGAATGAAGCATCAATGGAAATGCGTGAAAGCAGTGGAAGAAATGGCAGAACAAGGGTTCAAAGACAGCTTGTATTACCATCAGTTGTGTTCCTGGCTATCAATAAACCACAGAGAAACACGTTTACATGAAGCCCTGAAAGACTCTGCTTGCTACAGCTGCATCACAAACAACTTGGCAGTGAAATCCATCTGCTCTGCAGCAGAAGGATGGCCAAAAGGGCCCAGCAACAAGCCACATGCCCTTCTTCTCCCACTTAGCCAGATAGGACGAGGAAAAACAGATGCTAGGCAGCAGGCTGGCTGGGAGTATATGGAACCTGAAGAAAGCATAACTGAAGCAAAACCCCATAATAACCAGTAACTCCTTAAGGGTACAAACAACCTGTCCAAAAAAACCACTTTGTCCCTGTCAATCAAGAGGAACCCAAGAGACGTGACAAGGACTTTTGTCCTGTGTCACACAGCTGACCCTGGTCCCTCCTTAGGCACATATCTGTGTGCTGAGACGTGTAGGGGCAAGAGTTGAAGTGGGTGAAACCAATTTTGTTTTAATAACCGTTCTCATCCCCTGCCATAAGATTTCATGCTGAGCTCTGTGGTGTGAATCCCACAACCCTACCTCCGGCCAGTGCAGGAAGAGGAGATGCAACAGCTCAAGACATTGCCCCACCACTTCTGAGTCTGCAAGCTTGAGGATGCCCAGCAGTGGGGCAACTGTAGCCTGCTGGTGCAGCTCCTGGCAGTAGGCCGGCCCCTTCTCCGCTATATTGCACAGCACGGTCAGGACCTGGAGGGAGAAGCTGTGACAGTGATCAAGCAAAACCCCATCAACAGAGAGGGGATTTCCAAGACTTTGGAGGGCTGCAAACAACCTCCCCAGCAGCTGTCTGGAGGTCAGCAAGGCACGTTTCCCCAGCTCCATATACCAACTGATGCCAGCTGGTTTTTGAATGCTCTTTAAAAGCTTTCCCTGTCCTCACCCTGCACTGTTCGTCCACCTGCCCTGCTCTGGTTTGACTTGGCAGGATCCCTCTCTCAGCAGTCAAGGCCAGACCACCCCCAGTAGAGCATCCTCCAAGAGGAATGCATTGGGGTCTTCCAAAAGAAGGCAGCAGCTTCCCTCAACCCACTCCAGGTGTTGGCAGGCCTGACACCAAGCTAACGTATGCCTTGGGTTCCTGCAACGACAGTAGCTGGGACAGCTGGGGATCCCTCCTCTGCTGGGACAGGCCCCTGTCAAGGGCAAATATGGAGGCAGTGACTTTAGGGGAGGTAGATGGTGATATTAACACAATGCAGGACTCTCTGCCAAGCTGTTATCACTGTCCTAAGCTAACCTCCAACCTGAGCACTGCACATGCTGGATTCATGTTCCTGAAAGCTTTTTCCCAGATCTGGGGCATGAGGCAAGGTCTTACCAACACGCTCACTGTCTGGGAACACGGCAGGAGCTGCAGCAGGCCTGGGAGCAGGTCCAGAGTGAGCACAGCAGAGCAGAAGAAAGGCTCATCCGCTAGGAGGAGTGGAGGATGAACATGTTAATGAAACTGAGGCCTCAGTGCAGGAGGTGGCTGCAGACAAGGGACAGAGATGGCACATGCCAGCTCCACTTGGCAAACACAAGGTGTGCTCACAGCACACAACAGGCTCAGATTCAGGCGCGCAAGGTGCCAGAGGATAGACGATCCCTGCCCACTACATCTTATCAAGTTCAAAACCTATCCTGGGAACTGAATCAAGGCGACAACACACATAAGGGGAAAGGTCTGTTCGATTTCAGAGCATTTCTGCTGTCACACCTTAGAAAGGATAATTTGTCCATCCCACAGGCATTGCCATATGCTTGACTTCAAGCACCTTCTGGCAGTCCCTCCCGTGCTGTCTGTGCCAGTGTGGGGTGTGGCTCTGCTGGGAGGCTCCTCGTGCAACAATTTCCGAGTCTCCCATCAATCAGGGCAGGTCCCAGCAGCAGCAGCTCTAGCTCTGCTCTTGGCCACACAGGGACACTCACCTGTAAGGTTGTTCAGCAGCCAGAGACACTCCTGCACAATAAATGGGTGCTCCTGGAAGAAGCACTGCAGGATTATGAACAGGGCCACAAGCAGGCGCTCATCCTGGATCTGCACTTCACAGTCCACCATCTCCTCTGCAAGCAGGTTGCTAAGGCACCGCAGAACTGGGCAGACGAGCTGTGACAGTGGGAAACAATGTCCTAAAACTGGACTGCATCCCCACAGCAATTTTGAGAAAGGCAGTGTTGGAGGTATGGAAAAAAAGGAGATTAGGGTATTATTCAGTCTTTCACAGGTAGTTCACAAAACAAGGCTTGAAGGAAGGAGCAAGACAACACTCTAAGGCAACCAGATAAGGAAGTTCCCAAATAAACCTGAAGAGAACAACAGTTGATAAACAGGAGAGAACTACTTGAACTACGGGTGAACTATCCGAATTAGCATAAGGAAAAACCCACCTACAAGCAGGGAAGCCCCCTGCTGATCAAAGCCCCTTCCCCATAGAGCATGTGTAGTAGAAAAAGAGAATACTGTGACTTTAAATGAAGATAAGACCTAATAGAACCAATAAGAACAAGGCAGACTTAATGTAGTTGTAAACTATACTGAAAGAACAAGGCGGACTTAATGTAGTTGTAAACTATACTGATAACTGTTGCTTAAACTGTATAAAGTGTAAGCTGTGTAGTAATCAGGTGTGCTAGCTTTGTGGGATTACCACCTAGCACCCATCTCTGCGCAGAAAGGAATTAAACAAATATCTCGACTCTGTGTGTTTTCGGCTCATGGCACACCGGGTGAAAGAACCCTTCTTTGGGACAACAGCAGGAGCCCTGCCTAAGTCTTACCAGCTCCAGGCCATCAGGAGTCCTTTGGGAGATTTCAGAAGCCAGGTCGAGCAAGAGTGAGGCAAGAGCAGGTACAGCCCCCAGTGATAGCAATGCTGCATTGGCTGTGTGGCTGCAAAGGGAAGGGACAGCTTGGTTGCTCTCTGCACCCAGGCCTTGCCAAATACCTGGACCTGGAATTGCTTGCTGCCCTCCTGAACCATCACAGGGTTCATTTCACATTTGAAGAGCAGCTTGTGTCTGGGCAGACACTTTTAGCAAGTTTAAAAGTCCATGGAAAACAGATATCCTCAAAGTGGCTCTGGAGACAACCACCCGGGGGCTCTTCTCCGAGTCCCCACATACACTCCTTTTCCCTCTGCCAGGGTTGCGGAAAGAGATGTCACCAAAATGGCCAAGGTGAGGCAGGCAGAGGTTGTTAGCTGCAGCCAGCCTGGCCACGGGACACTGAGTCAACCCCATAAGCTTGAGCATTCAGGGAGCTTGTGGAGTGCAGGGCCAGACAAGGGGAGGCAATGGAGGGCTTTTCAGAGGACTAGGAACAGTCTTGGGTTACCATCAGCAGTATCACTCTGTAAACAAACTCAGTGATCCTGCAAACAGCATGTGTGCACTAAGAAGTGAGACTGGATGTGCCCAGCATGAGAGGGAAATCGCTTTCTCAAAGGAAAAGGGTGAGGGGAGGCAGTCGAGGTTAGACCCCTCACACGGGACCCAGACTGCCAGACTGACAGCAGCGGGCTCTGCGCAGGCCTGCGCTCCAGCCGGCAGAGCCTTCGCACTTCTGCTTTCGGCTGCCCCAGGGGACTCAAAGAGGAAAAGTGTTTACCTACAAACGATGTAGTGGAGACACCACGCAAACTCCACAGCGGCTCCTGTCCCAGACTTGAGGCCGGAGCAAACCAGTCGAAGCATGTGCTGGGGGAGACCGGAGTCTAGAACCAAGCTGGGGGCAGAAGGGTAGAGTTAACGGAGCCACGGACCCGAGCACAAAGCAGGACAGACAACTGACAGGCAAAGATCAGCCCCCACTGCCAGGCACATGCTCCAAAAAGCACCTAGAAGAGACTCTCACCAAAGGGCTACAGACACTGGCACCGCTAAGGTTCAGTGTAAGGCAGCTGCAAGCTCTCAGCAAACACCCACTGGCTGCTTATATTGATTAATTAATGAATCCAGACTGCTCAGTTATCTCTGTCATAGGAAATACCATGCCTGGCACTAACATCCCTGTCCGTGGCAGGGCCTCGGAGACATTCAGAACACCTTGGCTGGGGTCACATCTTTGGCACTGGGGACTGTCAAGCTCATCTTTTCCCTGGCAGGAAGAACATGGCCCGAGTTTCCCCGTTAGCCCAGCCCGCTCCCCACTGTCCTTTACCAAAATACCAAGGCTGTCTGCTCAGATGAGGCTGAAGGAACAGAGCCAAGCCCTGCACCCTGATCTGCATAAAATCTCCATATTTCTGGTAGGCTTCTGCTCTGAACTATTAATATCACTGGGATGGGAGATGCATCATTGTCCCTGGCATGCAAATACCATGCTGGGCCCCAGGGCCCATCCTGATACAGCGTAAAATGCTCAGACTCACGGTACAATCTCTGTGGGGGCTTCCTTGGCTTGGAGGAGCTGCGACAGGACATAGCCCAGACCTTCCAGCACAGCCTCATGAGGGGACTGCAGTTAAAGAGAATGAAGCTAATTCCACAAAACAGACCCATGGGGAACCCAGGCCACCGGCCACCATGCTGGGGAAAGGGCGATACCTTTATGTAACGTCAAACCCAGCAGCTGAGAGGTACAGTCTTTCCATGTCTGGGAAAGAAGGGGCAACAGCAGGGGATGGGAGCGATGGAGCCAGTTCAGGCTTTGTGTGAACAGGCCACAGCAGCTTTGTTGCTCCAGATACTCAGATCTGTGAACGACAGCCCTGCTCACTGTGTGCTGGCCTCGTATGCCTGCGGGACCCAAACCATGCAGCAGGGAGAAGCCTGCAGGACATTGTGTTAGAGACAGTTTATCCACAAGCCACAGTTATGCATGGGAGAGATTCAGCTGGAGAAGAGTGCAAGGTGGTACCCCGAGTCCTTAAACTGGAAGGCAAGAGAGCCCATGCAAGCCCCTCGCCTGCCTCTACACACAGCTGTGACTACAAGGAGGGCTAGTAACTCAGTACTGTCAGAGAGCATCTAAGGGTCACAAGGAAAGACCTTTCTCAGGATATGGCATGGGAAGAGCCTTGGCAGAGCTATTTCACCCACCTGGATGCAGGATGCCAGCGCTGGAATAATGCCCTGAGGCAGAAGCTGTTTCCGCCCGGCCTCGCTTTCTACTACCAGGTTCCCCAGCGTGTACAAACACAGCTCCTGAAACACAGCCGAGAGACCAGGTCACCCCCTCCATGTTCCCCAGCAGGGCCCCGGTCAGCCTGTGTACTCAGGGCATGGCAGCCAGCAGGACTTTGCGGCCCTGCACCCTGAGGCCATGCTTCCCCAGGGCAGGGCAGAAGCTGTCTCCAGAGGGGCAAACACAGGTGGATGAAGCTGGACTCCTCCAGCTCCCCCTGTTCCCAGCTAGACTGGCTTCAGTTTATCCTTGTTCTCTTGCTCAGGCTGGGACTGGCAGAACATCTGATCATTTCCATTTCAGAGGTTTTCCGGGCCTCTATTATTCCCATCACATTTCTCTGAGACCCCTGTAATTCCAGGGTATCTTCTTGGAGGCTGCCTATGTGCCACATTAAAACGTGATGACTGTCTTGTCCCTTCGCTCTGATCATGTCTGCTCCTCAGAGAGGCACTGCATGCCAGGCAAGGCTCTCTGCTCTGTAGCTTATGCGCAGTGCCTTCCCTAAACTGACCACTTGCTTCAAATACTGGCTGAGTAACATAGCCTTCCCCTCCACCATCGAGGCCTCCGTCAGGATCTCCCCCTGCCTTTGTGCTGCCTGTTTGTCCAGCCCAGGCAGCGCTCTCACAGATCCAGACACTGCAGGCATCAGCTGACCAAGCTTGCAAAACACACAGGTATCCCAAAACTACTCCAACTGTTCATTCCTTTGTCTGGATCAAACTCCATGGTTTGGAGCAACAAGCACCCTGCTCTTCCTCTCCACCTGGATGAAAGCTGCCTGTTTTCTGCTCCACAGTTCAGACAACAAAGTATCCGTCCTCTCATCCCAGCCTATGAGGGCTCATTTCTTTCAGTAGCTCCTTGCAAGCAATCCAAGGTCTTTTAAACATCTGAAATGACTTGCATCGCCTCGTTCTGCTTTATGTATCACACAGACACCAAGGCCACAGACCTGATGGTGGAGTTCAAGTGCCACAACCCACAGTCCCCCTGAAGACATAGCTCTGAGCTGGAGAGGGCAGCTGGTCCTGGGGCTACACAGAGGAACCCATTGCAAATGGGACAAACCATTGCAAATAGGGTAAACTGCATCCTAGGCTCTGCCAGGAACACAGCCAGCAGAACGAGAAATGGGGTTATCCCCTCTGCTTGGCACTGGTGAGGCCACACTAGGGTGCTGGGCCCAGTCTGGAGCCCCCAGGTCAGGAGAGGGGCTGGTGGAGGCAGCCAGAATAGCTGAGACATGGGGCAAAGGGCTGAGAGAGGGGTGGGACGGGTGCTGGGCTGGGTTCGCCTGGCCGAGATGAAGCCTAGGGGCATATATATGAGCAGCTTGCAGCTACCTGGAAGGGGGTGCAAACATGATAAGGCCAAACTCCTCTTGGTTTTGGGATAGGGCACAACAAGGGGGGTTTTCCATGCTTGCGGGTTTCCAAGACTCAGTCAGACAAAGCCACAGCTGCTCTGGGCTAGTGCTGGGGCCAGTCCTGCTCTGAGGAGGAGGCTGGACTAGAGACTTCCAGAGGGTACTTCCCACTAGCATTTTTCTGAGGGCCCTGTTAGGCCAAGGCTGACCAAAACAGGTCCTACTGAAACCTAATGGCTACCAAAGGAGCATCATGAGCAAGAGCCCTGGCAAACACAGGCCCGGATCTTACCGTGAACTCAACACTGTGTCCTGAGAGGTAGGTCAGGAGATAGGAGGTCACCGGCAGGCATGCCTCAGCCACAGCAGGGTCACTGGAGTGGGAGAGCTCATGGAGACAGCGAGCTGCTTCCATCTGCATGTCGGCCAGGCTGCTGGTGAACAGTCCAACGAGCACCCGAACACTGCCATCCAGCCTGGAGGAACCCAAAGGGTGCTGTTACCTCCTGCTTTCCCATCCTCAGCCACGCATCAGCGTGTCCATGCAAAGAGGGGGACAAAGGACCGCTCTGGGCACAGCCTCAACAACACTGCTTCGGGCCAGCAGCCACACAGCATCAGACTGGGGCTGACCTGACAAATTTTTGCTGGGTCTCCTTATTCTGCAGAGCCCAGCGGAGGCGGCTCAACGATCTTTTCCTGTCCTCTGAACCTCTCTGCACGCCTCTGAGCAGTTCCAAAACCTAGCAGAAAATAAAGAGCCGGGTGAGTTTCAAGCAGTGCCACCAGGGCAAAGATTTCATCCTGTTAACCTCAGAAGCAAACAAGCCCAGGGCACAACTGCAGATGGTCATGATGGACCTTGGTGCTTCTCAGGGTAACTACATCTCACAAACACTCCCAGCCCCTCCCCAGCCACACAGGGTCCTCAGCATGTCTGGAGGCTGGGGAAGAGCTCCAGGGATTCCCATCATCACGCAGAAGGCCACATTCTTCACCTCCTCCTCCGTGAGGGGGTCCGGCACCATCTCCACTCCATCCTGCCTGCCCTCTGCCACGGGCTCTTCCCGCAGAAGCCGCTTGCTGACCAGCTGCTCCTGCCGCCGGGCCTTCCTGAGAACTGCAATCAAACCGGTCCCTGTTACCACCTGCTTACATCAAGGCACATTTTGATCCAAAACAGCCTCTTTCTTTTTAATGGGGAGAAGCTGCCAGTTCCTTCTTGTACAAGCTACAAGGGATGGAGGAGGCAAGGACTGAGTTTTAACCTTGCACCCCACAACTTTGAGGCCTGGGGCCGGGTGCAGACTGGCAGTTGCCCATCAGTGCATGAGGCCACAGCAGCCAGGCAAAGACCCAAGAAAGCACGACGGAGCCTCAGAGGCTGCACTGGGAGGGCCCCAGAGCTGGTTTTACACAGGGCAGACCTTAAAAAACCCAAACCACAGGGAGACACAGGGAGGAAACGGGGTGTCCAAGACAGAAAGGCCACAGGGATGAGAAGGGATGTAAAGCACCATCCCAAATCTGCAGGGAGCCCTGGGATGCCAGCCCGCGGGACCATCTTGTGCACCCCACTGGGGATGCATGGCACCCAGTGGGAAGGCGGGCAGGGTGAGGGTCCCTGGGGGCTGTTTCGGTCCTGCTGTGGGGCAGAGCCGGTTGTGCTCTGTGCTA